AGAGAGAGAGAGAGAGAGAGAGAGAGAGAGGACTTGTTGTGGAGGAGCAAATAAGTTGCATGCAAATGAGGTGTGACTTCTGATTGGGTGTGGTTGCCTCACTCACCACTGTGCAGGGAGAAAGAAGTTCATCAGCTGATCAGATGAAAGGGAAGGCGATTGTCATCTTTGTGCTGGGTAAGCCTTGTCTCTTCTTCTTTCATTTATCTTTCTGTTGTGCTAGCCTTTTTTTTTTTCATAAACAGGTCCTTATGGCCCTGGCTCCATTTCTATTCTGGGGAGCATCAGTCCGGTGCCTATTCCACCGGCAAGTCCGAACAAAGTATTACATCATGAAAAAAACACACTCATGCCTTCCTGCCGTCTGCCCGAAGGAAACCCTGACCAGCATTGATTACTCCAGCATCGTGGAGGCTTGACCGCCAGCTTGCCTTACTTCCGCCTTTCCTCTCAGGTCCAGTGTATGTGGACTTGTCAGATAAATGATAAAGAACAAGAAAGGTAAAAGAAGGAAGCTACGGAAGATGCAATCTCGGAATTTGCCCTTCGATATTATGTGGCCTGTGATGGATCTTGTCCATGTGCTGGGTGGGGATTCCTGCCTTCTCCACCGTGCTTCTGAGTTGTGCCAGTCTTTCCAATGTATGCGAAAGTCGTTTACCTCCGCGACTTTGCCCCCTGCGAGCCACACCTTGGTGAATTTCGCCTTGGTTCTTCTCTGTTGCTCTTCGTCATCTGGCATGGAGTGCCTCGTCTTTTGCCACGTACAAAGAATCTCTGCCTGAATCAAGTTTTGGTCGGAGAAGGTATGGGCGGAGACACTCCATGCGTCACCTTCTCTGTCTTGTGGAATTGCGCTGGATGTTAGTCCATAGAAATGTTGTGCTAGCCTTTTAGTTTTTCTCCAATCTCATTTTCATAACCTTTTTGTTTGGTTATTCAAAGATTCGGTTTTGCTTTTCCGTCCTGGGTAAGCCTCCTCCCTCTCCTCCGCCTCCTCCCCCCTCTCCCCTTCATCCCCCTCCTCCCCCTC